CCCTGGGATCGTTATAGCTAAAATCAAGATGACCTGGGCAGAGAACAAAAATGGCTGGTGGGAAAAAAGGAAAGAGACGACACTAGTAGGACCAACTGGGAAGGAAACAGGGAGGGGCACACAGAAATTCATGGAAGGATGGTTTAAAAAGCCGTGCAGAAACAGCAGCAGCAACAACAGAAAGCATACAGAAATTAGAGCTGCAAGAAAGAGAAATGAGAATTTGCTCTGGGAAAAAAAGTTTGAAACCTGAGAAAAACACAAGCCATTGTCCAGCAACGTATATAAAGAGAGAGGGAAAAAATATCTCAGTGCTATCCCTTTTCCTCTTCCTGCAATGTGTGAAGGAAGATCCTTTAAACACACGGCTTTGCTTTGGCGTGTTATAGACCTAAGTAGCAAAGCTGTAACTAAAATGTGTGCATGTAAAATGCTGGTGAGATGCCAGAACTACACCAAAGCTCCAAGCATAAGACAACGGCACTCATTGTAAAACTAATATGACGCTCCTGCTTCAAAAAAGCCAAGACAAAAGTAACTACATACGGTAATTTCTTAGCATCCATATTCTATTTAAAACTGCCACCGCTACACCAAAGTCCTTTATTCTTGGAACACATGGAGATACTGCGGAGATGATGAGGGGAGATTTGCTGAGATCTTTCTAATTTAGTCTTGAGCCTATCTGATGAACTACGAGAACAAGGGAAACAGAGGGATACTTTTAAGAAAAGTGGAAGAAAGGAAAAAGATATAGTGGTACTTCCCCACTACCTTGAAACACGGGTTCAAATCCCCCTTCTCCGAATTTAAAGGTGCAACTTAAACTCAGGTCTCCAAAATTCTTGGGGGAAGTATCCTACTTAGAGGGTCTTAATACCTTCTCATACAGACAGAAACAGCTTTTAGAATTGCAGATATTCCTTGTAAAGGGACGGGGAATTTCCCAATTCCGGTCTCCTCAGTGAGGTTCTACACACTGGACAGAGAGATCAGCTTTCCAAACATTCCCAGGATCTAGGTCTTTAACTGTGCTTAGTAACAATGATCCGCGCTGTCTTTTCCAGTAACAAGCTGTTTGCTAGCATCTAGACACCAAAATAAAGTTTTTCCAACTTGTTTTGAACTGTGAATTCTAAGAAGTTTCAGAGAAGTTGCAAACCCCTACAGACAGTTTTCCCATACTGACACACCTGACCTGCTCTTCTGATTTACCTTTTGCAGACTCCTCAGAAACATTACCTTGATCTACACGGACTGAATATCATTGCACATTAATCTGGACATCCCAAACTGCCAAAAACTCCGGATCCTTCAATATAGGCCAGCAGTTGCACGCTGGAAGCCTAGAGCGGATATTACTACTCCTGAATGGGTTCAAAGTAGAGCTAAATATTCTGGCTACCGGTGCTTTTAAGACTAAAGGCAAACGCAACATCAAACAAGGACACCACTTTCAACATACAGTCTAACCCTTGAGGATCACGCAGAACTAACTTCATAAAAGGGCTTTGTATCCTAAAATGCATTTATGTCCTACAGAGCACACAAATACTTGTCAAGCCCCTTGCTTCTTCTCTGTTATCAATTTCAGTAATTAAGTGTCTTGCAGACTGTGGTGCACTGTGGGGAACACAGCCTGCAGGCACATAAAATCCAAATGCAGCACGCAATAGCTCGTTCAAACAAAGATGCTTTGAAGAAGCCACAAGAATTAGAACAGAGCAATGCTGCAGAGAAGTTTTGAGCATTCAAGACTAAAATCGCATTTCTGGCACTTTATTACTTCTTCAATAAGCAACTAACTCGAAAGTGCATACAAAAACATTCTGGAATATTTACTGCTAGCATAGCATATGGACAAACAGCTTGACACTGCACAATGACTGTTTTTAAACTTAACTCCACCACCATATCCGTAACTAGCTTCCTAGTCTTAAAAGGTGTTACAGAACAAAATACAACATCCGAATACCTAACTGGGAAAAAATAAACACAAGCACACTCAGATATCTCAGTCGGCCAGATTTCTCATAAAAGTAGTATTCTAATCTAAAAATTTGCAAGTTCCTGAAGTTATAATAGTCCGTAAACAAGCCTGAAACTAAGACGACTGACGATTATGTTGTAATGCTACAACATTACTTCATCAGCAATATGTTCTAAAGACGCAACTGTTTTCATTAATGAAATGCACACATTTCTTCAGAGTCCAGGATTATGAACACATTGCTTTTCAAAGAACACACATTATATAGAGGTGCAGAGATTCAAACGCAACAGTAACACATAAGTAACAAGTGATATGAATGCCCACAAAATAAGCTTTGTGCTGATAATAAAGGACTATTACCATGTACTATAAAAAAGGAGAGAAAAGTTGAAACCGTATCTTAGGTTCCTGCTTTCTTTTTTTTTTTTTTTTTTTTAAATTGTCACATATAAAAATTCCCAGGGTATAAAAGATAAAGGAAGACAGGCCTTAAGCGCTACCTCCCCTTATCTAAGTAATTACGTAAGCTTACACACGACATATTTGTTTTGAAGCTCCTAACCTAGAGAAACACTTAAGGAAACTGAAATGTTATTGGCTGCGGGGACAGATGAACCCAGCTAGCAGGTGATCCCCAGGATAACATCTAGCATAATCATCTCCATCCCACTGAAAGCATGAGCTTTGAAACAACAGGGTCACAAGTTCTGGAACCCAAGGTTCTTCTCCTCAACCCCCAAGGTACCTTCGCCCATCATTTGAAGGAAAAAAACGAGAAGGAGAGAAACACATTATGTATGTTAAAACTACAGCTAGTTTAAGGTTCAACGCTGACTGCTAAATAGCAATTGTGAATGGTTACACTGAAAGTTTAATTTTACTGTATTTAATTACATAAACAGCAATGAGCATCTAAATTGTGGTTTTAATATTCTGTTGGCTGCTGTGTTTCCCAATTCTAAACAATTACCTTTCCTCCATATGGAGATAGTTTAAATAGCTGAATGAATAGAGCAGGGAGGAAAAAAAAAAAAGTGAAGGCTAAGATACCTTAGTCCTAAAAAAAAAAAAAAAACCCTCTGAGAAAGCTAATAAATTAGAAAACTCATTTTCTCCTTTTTCATGATTAAATTCCATGGCTTCTGCAGTAATACCGACTATTGCACATACTGACAAGTCATCCAGTACTCTTTCCAGCGTAACACTATAAAGTTTACACCACCTCCAAATAACAGAATATTCAGGAGATGTGCTTTTGCGTATTTCTACACGCACAATTTCTACAGTATTTATCACTTTTCCACTTTTTCAAGCCAACCTTATCCTTCAAGAATTCCAAGTGTGTTGTCCAGAAGAGTCTACAAATTCAACTTTCCACCACATTAGATAAAACATGCTTACTGCAGAACACAAGTGCAAACTACACCACTTAAAGCTTGTGTTTTATGAACTGATAGCATAACTTGCAAGCACTTAGCTTGCAGGCATCAATTAAGCAATCCCTTAAAGCTTTCATTGTCACTTTTCTTCCATTGACTACTGTTTCACAAGTATAATCATTTAAAAAAAAAAAAAAAAAAAAGGTCTGCAGAGCTGAGGAGTGAAAAGGTTATGTCCAACAGCAGGGCAAACCCTTTAGTAAAAATATCCCATTCATATCAAGAAACTTTGAGGTAAACACTTGCTTGAAACAAAGCAAAAAAAGTGAGAATCTAGCAAGGTTGGCTTGTTTGTATACAGCAAAAATCTGTTTCAGCACTTTATTACCACTCGGGGCAGACACATTTCCCATTGTTTTGTGGGCAATGGGATTAGCTCTAGAAGAGCTTTGTGGCCTTTAATTAAATTTCCACACAATAACGGAGCAATTTAACCCTTGAGCAGGGAGAAGAATTGCAAAATATAGTTCAGCACTTCCACAAACAATGATACTCAGTCTTTGTTTCCTCTCTCTTCCCCAGAGTTTTATTTCGCTTTTGTCCCGCATTTATTCTGTTTTACGTTTACTATGTCTTTTCTGTATGGCGGAGAGCAAGAGAGACCTGCATGACAAATCATACCCTAAGTCTTTACCTTTGTCTTTAGATAACAACTGGTCATCACACCTTACTCTCTCACCAGAGATTTTGCTCCTGTCCTTCTCAGGAGGCAAGAATGAGGAGCAAGGAGAAGGTGCAGAGCTTCTGACAGGCAGGAATGAGACCATTAGTTTAGAAGGAGGGGGCAAAGAGAGAGGAAACAAAGTCCTTGTTTGGGCAAAGAAGCATCCCTGCAACTCTAATTTAAATGGGAGGAGCTCCTGTTAGCTTAAGGCAAGCATCCATTAAAGGTAGGACACCCAGATTTCATTTTAGAAATTAGGTGCAGAGTTTGGACCACGCATTTAGAAGAAACGCCATTAGTGCAGGGCGGTCTAGGGAAGGCAGTAACAAAGACCCTTGTAAGGGAGAAAAGGAGGAAAAAAAAAAAAAAGCTGTGTTTTCCAGTTTATGACCAGATTTGAGGAGCATACATAAGACAGCTAAAGATGCAGTAAACGGTGCAAGTTATTAGACAGTAAGCATTCAGCAGAGGAAACAGGGTAAAAAGGAGGCATGTTCGTTGCGTAAACTTCTTCACACAACACAGATCATCGAAGGCACTAGGAGCCGCTGCACACAGCATCCAGTCGACGGTGAGAAGCCTGAAAGCCAAGTTAGCGCTGCTCTTCCCAACTCAGCGTGAGGGAGGTCCGCGGCCTTCCCTACCCTAGGGAAGCCCATGCTGCCACGCGGGTCACTTTGTCACCACGCGCGACACAGGAGCCGCTCCCGCGCGGCCACGCTCTGCCGGCCAACAGCCGCACACGGCCACGATTTTCAGGAGAGGCGACGTTTGCACTTCGCAGGGACAGGGAGGGGGTCAGGCGAGTCCACGCCATGCCTCGGCGCAGAAAGACGGGCCGAGGGTGCCCGAGGGGGCCCGCCCGCACGCCCCCCGGCCCGGCGCGCACGGCCGCGGGGCTTACCCAAGTGCAGCGTGAGGTTGACGGTGTTGGGGTGCTGCACGCCGGCCAGCATGGTCTGGCTCTGCCACCAGGTGGTGTCGGCCTGGTTGTTGTAGTCGGGGAGGAAGGCGACCTTCTAGATG